TATGGCTGGGACAATGAATACAGCCAGCATGAAGCACAGGTAGCAGCTTTTGCAGCTTCCAAATATCTGGTATCCAATCAGGAATTTTTGGCTTTTGTCGAAGCTGGTGGCTATCAGACCGAACACTACTGGAGTGAAGAGGGTTTAGGCTGGCTGCAATTTTCCCAAGCTGCTTACCCCTGTTTTTGGCGCAAAACTGAATCGGGCTGGTCACTGCGACTGATGCTGGAAGAGGTACCGATGCCTTGGGATTGGCCTGTAGAAGTGAATTATCATGAAGCCAAGGCCTTTTGTGAGTGGAAATCGCAACAGCTGGGGAAAAATATTCGCTTGCCGACTGAAGATGAATGGTATCGCCTGTATGCGGTTTCAGACCTGGATCCACATTTACCAAGTCCTGAACAGGCCAATATCGAGTTGAAGTACGGCACCAGCTCCTGCCCGGTCGATCATTTCAAGCAGGGCGATTTTTATGATATTCAGGGTAATGTCTGGCAGTGGACTGAAACCCCGATCTATCCATTTCAGGGTTTTCAGGTGCATCCGTTTTATGATGATTTCAGTACACCGACCTTTGACGGTCGCCATAACCTGATGAAAGGCGGCTCCTGGATTTCGGCAGGCAATGAAGCTTTATATAGTTCCCGCTACGCCTTCAGACGGCATTTCTTCCAGCATGTCGGTTTTCGCTATGTCGCCTCTGATCAGGCACTGCAACATTTCCCTTCAAACTATGAAAGCGACCAGCTAGTCTCCCAATATCTGGAATTCCAGTATGGCACCGAATATTTTGGTGTCACCAATTTTGCCAAAACACTGGTCCATCTGGCGCAACCCTATTTTCAGCGAACGCCGTGCCATCGTGCCTTAGATATTGGCTGTGCCACCGGTCGCGCCAGCTTTGAACTGGCACACTATTTTAATCAGGTAACCGGTCTGGACTTTTCTGCTCGCTTTATCCAGCAGGCAGTTTATTTGGCCCAAGGCGACAGGGTACGTTATCAACTGCCACTAGAAGGTGAATTAAGCGAAGAAAAAAGCTGT